ACACCCACAGGACAACACTGACAGAAAGGAAACACAAGAGAAAATATATCTCTATAACATCAGCAAAATGCTTTCATCTTGTCTGATATAATCTTACTAAGCCTAATCTATAAATTAATTTTACTTGTCAAATTCATTTTAAAATTTTCAAGGTTTATAGATTTGTTATATTTATATTCTTTGCTTCAGAGATAATTAATAAAAAATATTTTTTTTGTCTGTACCTGTCTTTTTAATATTCTTGTAACATTATTTAATAACTTTTTATTTTTGCGTCGTCATTGTTGATGACATATGGTTAATTTTAGATGAATTTCATAGAAAACTAATTCATTTTAATTGATTTTGCCTGTAAAAATGAAATCTGGATTAATTGGTTTTATATTACTCTAATATCAATTCAATTAATTGAAGCTTACCTTCTTTTATGCTCGATTTTTAATTTGGCAAGAAATTGTTTATATATCAAATGAAAATTATTGTTTTATAGTATTTATTCGTCATCAATCTAATAATACAACGACGACAAAAATGAGATTTAATTGCTATACAACGAATTTTTTTTATTATTTCTTATTAAGTATAGAAATGGTATTAATAACACCTCAATTGAGAAATCTTCTTAGACAAAGAGGGCATTAAAATCGTGTAACTACAGTAGTCGAATCAATGCACATGAGAACTGTTAATACTATTCAATAAATCGTTCTTCTTTGACATTCACTAAGCAAAATTTTTTACGTGTTAGAAATAAGTAAATATACATGCGTCTTTCATCGTTATTTATAATAAATTAATCATATCGTTTTATTTCAAATGGTGGTATGACAAAATTTACTCGTATGAAGTAGATTTGTTTTTGTCAGATGGAATACTTTCATTTGTCACATGTCCTGGCAGTAATGGAATTGTATCTAAATCCGTTCGTTTAGGACCAATAAACCAATGACGAGCTGAAACAAACCAATATATTCCAGCAATGGATAGAACTATACTAATAACAACAATAGAATAATTCATATTATCCAATGTTATAGGATATTGATTTGGAAGAATCATAAAAAATGATGTAATTGTTAACCATATAGAAGAAATAATTGCAATAGGTACACCAAATCGACCAAAATTATATTCTCCTAATGGAAATATTTTTCGTGATATTGTACAACGAAATAGAATTGGTATTAAATAAGATACTTGTATACTAAATGTTGCTATAGCTAGGAAAGCAGTAAAAGCTGTTGCTGATATTAATTGAAATGAAAGAAGAATAGAATCAAAACAACATATGAATATAATAGCACCCATTGGAATTTTTGTTCCTTGATATATCCAACGTAAATAGTGTGAAAATGGAAAAGCACCATCACGAGCCATTGAAAAACTATAAACAAAATGAAAAATGACAGAAAATCTATGCAGATAATTATTACATACAAAATTCGACTAGTAGATGTAACAGATGATATACCAGCAAAATAAATATTACAAACGAGAATAGTTGTCAATGCCGTTGCTTCACGGTATGGTATTGCTCGCTCATATGTAGCGATAATTAAATTTATTGATGCATCATTTTTATTATTATCTTTGAGAAATTTCTCAACATTGGGTATAGCAAAAAGAAGTGCAAACAAATAAATAAATCCAACAATAGAACCACCTATACATGTAATAATGATTGCTCTGGGAACTACAATAATTAAATATATTTATTTTATTGAAGAAAATTTCATCGATATAATTTTACCTGTTCGATCAGCACTTTTCGTCTCTTCAGCTAAATGAGCACCAGCTAGAATATATTTAAATTTAATCTTTTTCGTCTCAAAAAAATGAATTTACCTTCATAACCAGAAAATGAGAATAGAGTTGAAAGTATACTAATACAACATACATAAATAAATGGAAAACCTGTACTATTATATGTAGAAAAAAAGACATCATGGACAGTTGCATGCTGAGGAATCGCAATAAACAATACACTAACAATAATCAATATACCAAATATTTGAAAAAAAGTAGCCAAAGTAGTTAACCATCCTTGTTGATCAATGCGAAGTGCATTTATCATACACCATGTAAATACAATTCCAATACTTATGATTACTTGAACAGGAGTACTTAGTGGAGGTTTACCATTAAGAACAATTATAGCATTTATAATAGAAGCGAAACCTGATGAAAATACAACATCTCCTATATTAACAATACGAAATAAAAATATATAAGAAGAGAAAAAGATATTGATATTTATTTACCAGCACTATTTCCAATAAAATTGAACCATCCACAAATAAATGATGCTAATGGAGCATTACGAGCTGGAACAAGTTGACCTGCCCTAATTAAAGAAGCAAATTTCTATCCTAATAACAAAAAAAGAATAGAATAATTTACCAGTGATAAACTGATCCAGCACTTGGATAAACGGAACAAATTTCAGCTAAAGAACAACCGACAAGTACAGTAAAAACAGATCCGATTATCCAAGACCAAATTGCTACACTTGATCCTCCAGTATTTAATGTATAATGAAAACCTAATGAAATTGATGTTAAAATATTAACAGCTGTGAAACAAAATGTAAATGACATAAATGGAGAAAAACCACGATAAAGTTCTTGTGTATAACCCATTTCTTTAAGAAGACGTATATCTTTTTCAGCTTCTTCATTTTCTATCATTTTAAGAGATATAGGAATAGATGATTATTTGAATGAAAATATCTACAAATATACTAGATATAAAAAAATTATAATTGTTAACACTTATCGAAGTTTTTATGTCGATGTAATTGTATAGGGTCTGATATATATACTTGTCTATTCAAGTGTTACGATTCATTCGAAAAAGAATATATCTATACTCAAGCAATGGATACGGTTCGTTTATTTTGTAATTTTTACTCCATAAACAGTCACAACAGAACGTGGAAAGGCAAAAAAATCATTGTATTGACGTAAAACAATTAGCTGTCGAAAGAAAATAACAAATGTAATACTTAGAATACATCAAATAGGTAAGAACGATGAAAAAGTTTTTTTTTTATATATTTCATTTATTCTTCTTGAATACATTTTACGATTAATTTTAATTTTTTAAAACGTAAGAATGTTTAAGCTGACTAAAATCACCATTTTTTTTATTTGTATGAATTATTCCACAATATTGAAAATGCTTCATAACAGCATTAGGATATGGTATAGTCATCATGTATTATCAAAATATTATTAAATAATGATTTTAATGTTAATAAACATAATTGTAATATATATAATCACGACAATGAATGAATACTCTTGAATTACAAGATGTCTAGGAAATTTTATTTGTACATCAGTAAATTTTCGACTAAGAACAGATCCATCATTTTTATTTTTTAACAAGTGAGTCAGATATTGTTCGTGTATCTTTATTTTTTATTTTTATTAAATTAATAAATGACTCTAGTGGCTTAGTTAGATAATGTAAATAGTGCACATCTGCAAATTTTTGTAATAGAGTACCTTTTCTTTGTGAATCGAGAAAATTTGGCAATTGCTCTGTTAATATTTGTATACATTATTTTTTGTTTCTTTCGAACAACGATCGATAGATGACGAAATCTCAGCATTTCTGAAATGATATGCATCTATATGAGAGGGAAGATAACTCGAATAAATTTGTCATTGATATCATATTTTCCATTGAAAACGGAAGCTCTCTTGTATTATGAAACACGATATTCATTCGCTGAACTGATATAATCAGTTTATTTCCGAGCTCAACGTGCAAATTAAACAGAAGGTAGTTTATATGCTATTATCTAATAAAAAATAAGAATGTACCAATATAGATCAGAGATAATAAATAAAGTATGAGCGTTAAATATAAAGTTCGAATTGCTAGAATTATTCGGTGCTCCAAGCTGCATCGCTGTCGACCCAACGCTGACCATCTTGAGGGTGAGTGTGGGTGTAGGTGTGCGTTTATATCGACAAAAGACACCCACTCAGACCTACACCCACACTTCTTAGAACACTAATTGAATATTCTGTCATTTCGAAGATGTACTCATGTAAAAACAAAGTTGTATACAAGGATGAAGAAAATGATGTTTCCAGGAAGTTCCATACGTTATTTTACATTCTAAATATGACTTAGTGCATTATATATTCATCAAGTTCAAACTTATGCTGCAATGAAAAAGTAACCATGTTATTTGAGTAAAGAAGAAATAAACAAATGACTTTTATATCTCATTTTTGTTTCAACACTGTGACTAAGAAGATTGGTGTAAAATAAATACGAATATATCAATCGTTTCCAAGGCTAATGTATCAGAGATATTCTATTAGATAAAAGAAAATATAGGATCAAGTAAACAAAATTTTCAAAAACGAAATATATTTATGGGTACATGAAAGAGGTAACTGTTAGATCGTATAACATAAATTAAGTAATTGAATATATTTCAACTTACATTGATAAGTAATTGTTTCGTTATATACACCATTCGCTTTCCTTTTTGAAATATAATTTAAAATAGTGCAACAGAGCAGCATCTGAGATTTTCTTTTGTGTTTAATGCATTCAAACGCTCAACCACAGAATGGAACTCTACTACTGGAATTTTGACAGAATTATCTTATAATAACCCAATTAGAAAGAAAACGAGATTTAATATTTACAAAAAAAGAGTCAGGAAAAGACGTCTAGATTCATCTTGGACTAACAAATATGTACTTTAATGATAAATCTAGTCAGTTCACCTGTGAACGTATTAAGCCGTTGATTACCGGGTTTCTTTAAAGTGAATCTTTTATTTTCTTTCTAAAACAGTCTGGAGTAACTTTTATTAATATATAGAAGCATTTGAAAGTGGGTGCACCTTATTTATCTCAATCGATATCCCCACCCACACCCTCACACCCACCCGCAAGATCAAGTAATTGTAGTCATCATCTTGCCTATGCAGATTGGTTTGACGAATATATTCGCCAGTAACGGTGGAGGGGTTAATATAAATCCATAAAATCAGTTTCGCTAAGTGCTTCAATCCCGTTAAAACCAATAATCAATGTCGAAAGAATGTAGCTTAGTTGTCCTTGTACGCTATCGAATACTTCTGTACATCGCTTACGATTAGGATCTGCCTCTGGAAAGTCATTTATTCGACCCATTGCTTTTCTAGCGTATAACCATCCGATTAAATACATTTTACGACCGTAATATGTCCATGCTATATTCATGTAAACTAGAGCAATCCAAGGATGGTTAAGAGGTAAATTTTCCAAATAAATGGATAATGTTCTCTTTAAACAGCGAAGCGCAGTTTTATAATGTTGATTCTTACTCAAATAAACGCAAGCAAGATTATTGTAAGTACGTCCAATGTGTATATGATTTTCAGGTAATACTTTCAACTGAAATGTTAATATCTCGTTTAACTTAATTATAGCTTCATCATTTCGTCCCATGTCTCTGTAAAGATGGGCTATATTACTTAGTAAAGTTGCTCGATTCGGATGGTTGTATGGAATTGTGGATGAATTAATAAAGACATTTAAAGCCTTCTGAAAATGTTCTTCAGCCTTTAAGTAATCTTTTTTACTAAGATACACGTGCCCGAAAGTATTGTATACTGTAGAAAGTGAAACGTCGCTGGATTCTGCGAACTTGGCTTGTGCGTCGAATGCCTCATACGCAAACTTTAAGGCATGATCAAATTCGGAAAGATATCGATGGGCTACTCCTAGGTTATTATAGATGTCAAATAGATCTTCGTGGTTAGTTGGATTATGTTTCAAAATAAGATCTAGGGCTTGATTATATTCCGTAATAGCTTGCCTATAGTCACCTTGAGTTTTAGCCACATAACCAAGTTGCGTGTAAAGTTTAGCTTGCATATCATAATTAGAAAGTATATCAGAACTGTATAGCATCAATCGATAATAATGTGCTGCTTGATCATATTGACCCATTTGATGAAGACACAAGCCCAACGTAATTAAGGAGGTAGGTTCATTGATTTTATAATGCTTGTAATAAAAGGCAAATAGACGTTTCATTTCTTCGTTTTCCTGATCACTGATTTTCAACGTAATTTGATATATATTTTCAATTTGTTTCACATTTGAAATTCGAAAGATCGCTCCAATAGAAAAGAGAACTTCGTCTTCTGAAAAGCGACTAACATAGGCGATACTACCAAAAGGAATTTTAGTATTTAAAAGTATATCAATTTCAATGATGAATAAGACTGATTCATCTTTCTCATTACCCGCGAAACTTAACGCCAGACCACGGTTCGTCGTTGTTGATAAAAAAGTATTGAACGATATCAATCCATTCTTATTCTTTTCTAATTTTCGGATCTCACCTATGTGTAACTTTTGTCCACGATACACAGTCAATTTGTCGGTACAGATCAAATCTATAAATTCTTTATGTAATTGGCACAGTTGTCGGTGAAGATCAGCAATAAAAAAGCGAAATGGATAAATCACATTAATGTGTTTGAGGCGAAGTGCTTTATTTAATAATCGATAGAGGAATTTATCTCCGGTATACCACGACACGGCATTTTCAGGCTGGTAATTTTTTGTAAAATCGGCAATTTGTTCCCGTATCTTCATATTATTCACGTTAAGTAAATCACATAGAAATGCCATTTCATTCTTGGTATCATATTTCTCCTCCATTTTTATCAAAACATCGATCATAAGTTGAAACCACATAGCTGAAGCACCTTCTTCATCTAAATCTTGAGTTGACTGCCCGTTTCCTTGATTAAAAATATTTATTGAAACCTTCGCATCGAGTACATGACGAATATCATTAGTAATTCGATCGAAGAGATCTTGCGTTTGTTTAATAATTCGCTGCTCACCAATTTTAACAAAGCTACTTGCCCATGTTGCATGCTTTTCAAAATTTTCACAGAATATATATGAATAGAATTTGTTTATATGATCCATGAATCTTCGGTACGAATGTTTCTCCCAGACTACCAGATACAATCATTAGGATTTTTTTTGATGATGACAGAATTATTTTTTCAAGAAAAGAATCACAATCAGATTCAGTGTTGAATGGTTGAAGAGAGCTGCATATTGGACTCAGTTTATCACAAATGTCGGTGTAGCAATGGACTTTAGTATCAAGCCAAACAATTGTCAAATCTTCTGGAGTTATATCCATGTTTAGATTTGTAGGAAAAACATTCTTGTCACGCGCTGCTCAATACTCATCTGAACTTTCACTGCTTTGCGAGCTGAAAGAAAAAAGAGAAATTAAAGAATGCATAATGGTAGTGCACACACAATCCATACTCACATATTCATCAGACAGGGCTGTCCATCTGCCATGAGAGCGAGGGAGGATCGACGATTTAGATGAACAATGCTTAAACTTTTAAAATTTTGAATGATTTTTTTATAGTAAATTGGGCAGTTTCTGTGAGATGTGTGAGTAAAAAAAAAGAAAAATTGACAAAGTTTTTGAGAAAAACTAAGGAATGGGGGACGGTTTGTTCACGAAACGGTCCCAAATGAAAATCTTCACAGAAACCATTCTTATACTACGCCATACGTTTTCTCTCGAACTATCGCATTATTTCTGACTCAACTCATTCACTCTCCGAAGCATTTTCAAGGATAATCCATGAAGGCACCGTCATAGTCCCGTACATAGCAAATCTCCTACTCCTAATCAATAGTGAAGTGTCACTCATATGATTTGCACTATTACTCGTAGAACCAGGGTCATTTTTCAGGATGTGAGTGTGGGTGTGGATGGGTGGGTGTGAATGTCGATGTTGGTCGTGGCTCTTGTTCAATGCCTCTTAAGTGCTTTACTATAGATCTTGACTCACCAAAAGTCTTCTGCGGCTACAATATGTTTTACATAGTTGAAGCACTAATTATGTCCGAAAAACAGTTTTCTTCGAGCTCAGATCTCAATTCTAGAGATTTGATCTATTATGAAACTTAGTTTTATTAAGAACGGGAACCTAATTCTTCACTCTGTTTCTCAAATTCTATCGACAGATACTGTCTCCTGTTATAGTTACTTACTGGTAGTTGAACGCCTGAAAAGGAATACTGTTTGTCTTATGTGTAGAGCTACTTTTTATATAGTCGATATGCAAAAATGGGAGTGATTGTTGATTCTTCTCCGATGAAGCGACAACAGTCTTTCTCTTCTTTTACTGCGCCAATCCAACTTAGTAGAATTGTGTAAACAGAGAAATAACTGCAGCGTCTATTAAAAGACGAGAAACTGAAAACTCACCCGACAAAAGGCAAAGGAAAAATCAGTAAATAGACGAGCGGAGAAGAAATACGCAATCGGAAGTGGGAGAGAAGATTCTAAGCAAGCGGAACAGCAGAAATTCAGTAAATAGACAAGAGTAAAAAATGCATAAGGGAAAACTCACTATTCTTGGAAGCAGAAAAATCAAACTACTAGGAGACAATGAAGTGGGTCGTAGAAAATGACTCAAAATTGACGTCAGCCAAACTGGAGCCCATTAGTCCATATTTCATTTATGTTCTATATATGAATAGTTTCAAGAATTAAGACAGATGCCGAGCTTGTATCTGACATTGATTGTTTAAATGTTGTTTTTCTGAACTAGCTCTTTCGGTTACTATTTAGTAAAAATTAATTAATAAGAAACTAATTAAAAATAGTTTTCAGGTAATTGACAGAAAAATTCAAGATTACCAGGTCGACTTCATCATTCCCGGCAGTATTGAATTAGCATCAATAAACAACAACTTCTGAATACT